TTGTGAGAGTCACGGGGTAAGAGAGAGAGATTGTGGAGATGTCACGGGGTAAGAGAGAGAGATTGTGGAGATGCCACGGGGCGAGAGAGATTGTGGAGATGCCACGGGCTGAGAGAGCGAGCCACGGGGCGAGAGAGAGAGATTGTGGAGATACCACGGGGTGAGAGAGATTATGAAGATTCCACGGGCTGAGAGAGATATTGTGAAGATGCCACGGGCTGAGAGAGCGAGCCACGGGGCGAGAGAGAGATATTGTGAAGATGCCACGGGGCGAGAGAGATATTGTGAAGATGCCACGGGATGAGAGAGATATTGTGGAGATGCCATGGGCTGAGAGAGTGAGCCACGGGGCGAGAGCGAGATATTGTGGAGATGCCACGGGGCGAGAGAGAGAGATATTGTGGAGATGCCACGGGGCGAGAGATTGTGAAGATGCCACGGGGCAAGAGAGAGATTGTGGAGATGCCACGGGGCAAGAGAGAGATTGTGAAGATGCCACGGGGCAAGAGAGAGATTGTGAAGATGCCACGGGGCGAGAGAGAGATATTGTGGAGATGTCACGGGGTGAGAGAGAGATATTGTGAAGATGCCACGGGGCGAGAGAGAGATTGTGGAGATGTCACGGGGTGAGAGAGAGATATTGTGAAGATGCCACGGGGCGAGAGAGAGATATTGTGGAGATGCCACGGGGCGAGAGAGAGAGATTGTGGAGATGTCACGGGGCGAGAGAGAGATATTGTGGAGATGCCACGTGGCTGAGAGAGCGAGCGAGAACTTGGAGGGATACCATCGACGGCAGCGAAACTTTCCTCTCGCCTCTCACCGCCCGCGTCGCGATCTGCCCCCTCTCCAGGTTCTGAGTTTCGAAGGCTTCACGCGCGAGGAGGTTCCCCAGAGCCCCGTGGAGACGCGGCGCGTGCGCCACGTCCGCGTGCTCTTCTTCCTCGAGGACGACTCCATCCAGGTGGTCGAGCCGCAGGTGAAGAACGCCGGGATGCCGCAAGGTGAGAGCAGTTGTTGTCGTTGTTGTTGGTGTTGTTGGTGATGTTGGTGATGTTGTTGTTTTGTTGTGTTGTTGTTGTTGGTGTTGTTGTTGTTGATGTTGTTGTTGATGTTGTTGTTGATGTTGTTATTGGTGTTGATGTTGGTGTTGTTGTTGATGTTGACGTTGTTGTTAATGTTGTTGTTCTTGATGTTGTTGTTGTTGTTGATGTTGTTGTCGTTGTTGTCGTTGTTTGTCGTCGTTGTTGTCGTTGTTGTCGTTGTTATTGTCGTTGTTGTTGTTTTCGTTGTTGTCGTTGTTGTTGTTGTCGTCGTTGTTGTCATCGTTGTCGTCGTTGTTGTTGTTGTTGTCGTCGTTGTCGTTGTTGTTGTCGTTGTTGTTGTCGTTGTTGTTGTCGTTGTTGTTGTCGTCGTTGTCGTCGTGATCGTCGCTCCTACTCCGCGCCCCACCGCTGCCTGCCACATTCACACAAAGACGTCGACCAGGATCTTGTTGAACCCTCCCCAACTGCTCTCCCCCTCACCACCACTCCGCTCACCACCCCCACGCTCACCCCCCACGCTCACCCCCCTCCGCTCACCCCCCCACGCTCACCCCCCTCCGCTCACCCCCCTCCGCTCACCCCCCTCCGCTCACCCCCCCACGCTCACCCCCCACCACCACCCCCCTCGCTCACCCCCCTCTGCTCACCCCTCCACGCTCACCCCCCTTCCGCTCACCCCCCTCCGCTCACCCCCCTCCGCTCACCCCCCTCCGCTCACCCCCCTCCGCTCACCACCCCCTCGCTCACCCCCCTCTGCTCACCCCCTCTGCTCACCACCCTCTGCTCACCCCCCTCTGCTCACCCCCCTCTGCTCACCCCCTCCGCTCACCCCCCTCCGCTCACCCCCCCACGCTCACCCTCCCTCTGCTCACCCCCCCACGCTCACCCCCCACCACCCCCCCCACGCTCACCCCCCTCGCTCACCCCCCTCTGCTCACCCCCCCTCTGCTCACCCCCCCACGCTCACCCCCCCTCTGCTCACCCCCCCACGCTCACCCCCCACCACCCCCCCACGCTCACTCCCCTCGCTCACCCCCCTCCGCTCACCCCCCTCTGCTCACCCCCCCCTCGCTCACCCCCCTCTGCTCACCCCCCCACGCTCACCCCCCCCATGCTCACCCCCCCCCACCCCCCCCGTCAAGGCACCATCATCCGGCGGCAGCGCATCCCATTGCCGGGCCCGCGTAGCGAGCGCTGCTACACGGCGGAGGACCTGAACGTGGGCCACGAGGTGGTGTTCTTCTCGCGCGTCTTCACGCTGGCGTCGTGCGACGCCTTCACGCGCCACTTCCTGCGCCGCCTGGGCGTGCGGCCCGGCACGGACGCGCCGCTGCCGGCCGACCCCTACACCAGCGGCCGGGACGCGGTACTAACTTGGGCCGGGGTTGGACGGATTTCGATTCGTGCGATTCCGGCACGTGTGTGTGTGCGTCTGTGTGTGTCTGTGTGTGCGCCTGTGTCTGTGTGTGCATCTATGTGTGTATGTGTGCATCTGTGTGTGCGTGTCTATATGTGTATGTGCCTGTGTGTGTGCGCGTCTGTGTGTGTGCATACCTATGTCTGTGTGTGCGTGCCTGTGTCTGTGTGTGTGTGTGTGCCTGTGTGTGTGCGCGTCTGTGTGTGTGTGCGTCTGTGTGTGTGTGTGTGTGCGCCTGTGTGTGTCTATATGTGTATGTGCCTGTGTGTGTGTGTCTGTGTGTAGTGGGGAGCGGTAGTGTAGTGGTTAGTGCGCTGCGCTATGAACCCGGCTACCCGCATTTGATTCCCGCTCTGAACCGTATTTGGCTGCTGGTGTGAATGTCCACACGGTGATGATATCAGGGCACTCCGTAGAGCTATCACGCTGCGATGGCCAGGGGCGCTCCTGGGAAAAATAGCTGAGTGGGGTGCCTTGCACCTGGTGACATAAAGCATAAAGTTGTTTTGTTTAGTAGTAGGTTTTTACCCTTAAAACTGGTACAAAACTGACACCTTTATACAAGGCATCATGTTTGCAATAACCACAACACAAGCAGTCAAAATGCAAACAAAAAGAAACAACTCTGATGATGATGATATGCACTGTCCTTGAAGTTGATTGGTCCACACCCGAGACAGCTTTCCTTAGAGCCTAGTCTCCATTGGTGTTGGACCAGATGACGCCAAAAGGCGCACAACTCAAAAACAGCGCACTACCAGTGCACTGTGTTTTGTTTGTTTTAATCGTTTTCAAGAGAGCGGCCATTATTATTGATCGGTGTTCTTTGTTTTTGTTGTCGTTGTTTGCTGTCGCTCGTTGTTGTTGTTCTTGTTTCTTATTATTTGTCGTTCCTTGTTGTCGTTTGTTGTTCTGTTGTTGTTCTTTGTTGTCGTTTCTGGTTGTTGTTCTGTTGTTGTTGTTCTTTGTTGTTCTTTGTTGTCGTTTGTTGTTGTTGTTCTGTTGTTGTTGTTCTTTGTTGTCGTTTGTTGTTGTTGTTCTTTGTTGTTGTACTGTTGTTGTTCTTTGTTGTCGTTTGTTGTTGGTGTTCTGTTGTTATTGTTCTTTGTTGTCGTTTGTTGTTGTTCTGTTGTTGTTGTTCTTTGTTGTTATCGTTTGTTGTTTTCTCGTTCTTGTGCCTTGCGTCTTGTTCTTCCCTGTCTCCGCCGTCTGCCCGCCCGCCCGCACCAGCTCGAGGGCAGCCAGCGCCCTCGCCGCCCGTACGAGCGCGTGGACACGCTGCGACAGTTCCTGGAGCGCGACCGCCAGGTGCTTCGCTTCTACTGCGCCTGGCACGACGACGAGGACGACGAGGAGGGCGACCTCGTCGACGAGGGGGTCGCGGGCGGGGTCAAGGCGGGGGTCGACGAGGGGGTCGACGACGGGGTCGACGGCGGGGTCAAGGAGGGGGTCAACGAGGGGGTCAAGGGGCGACGGAGGCGACGCGGAGGGGAGCCGCGCCGCCTGGTGCTGCACTACTTCCTGGCCGACGACACTGTGGAGCTGCGCGAGACGCTGCCGCCCAACTCTGGGCGCGACGCGGCCCCCGTGTTCCTCCGCCGCGGCCGCCTGCCCAAGGTGGGGGGGGGGGGCGGGGAGGGGGGACTACTTTTTACTTTCGTCGCGGTCGTCGCGAGCGGGGACGCGTCACCGTGACGCGTAGGCTACCCGGGGGAGCGGCGGGACAGCGGTTAGCGCCGCGCCGAGAACCCTGCGGCGGCCCGAGTTCGACTCCCGCTCGCGGCCACCGCCACCGACGCCGGCGACCATTGTCCGAGCCGGGTCCTGGGCCCTCCCCTAGGTCGACTCGGCCTCAAATGAGTACCTTGGTGTGGCGTGTAGTAAACATCGCCACTGGGGAGACAAAGGCGGCCGGGCGTGGTGCTGGCCACCCACCACCTCGTGTGCCACAGTGCCGGGTCTTCGCGTCACAGTGCCCCACTGTGTGTGTGCACGTGTGCACGTGTGTGTGTGTGTGCACGTGTGTATGTGCACGTGTGTGTGTGCACGTGTGTATGTGCACGTGTGTGTGTGCACGTGTGTGTGTGTGTGCACGTGTGCACGTGTGTGTGTGGACGTGTGTGTGTGCACGTGTGTGTGTACACGTGTCACACGTGTGTGTGTGTACACGTGTGTGTAAACGTGTGTGTGTACACGTGTGTGTGTGTACACATGTGTGTGTGTGTGTGCGTGCGTGTCTTTGTGTGTGCGCCAGTTGGCGCCGCAGCCGCTGAGGCTGCCCGGGGCGAGTGGCGAGCGCACGGTGCTCAACGTGATCGCCCCCGGGGGCCCCGGGGGTCCCGGGGGCCACGGGGGACGCTTCATCCTCGACAGCCTCAAGGTCCGACGCGGAACGACGCCCTCTTTGTTTGGCTTGGTTGTTTGAAACTCGGACGTGCGCGCGCACCCATGTCCGCACACACACACGTGCACACACATACGTGCGCACACATACGTGCGCCACGTGCGCACGCACACACACGTGCGCACACACAAACACGTGCACACACACACACGTGGGCACACACACACACGTGCGCACACACACACACGTGCGCACACACACACATGCACACACACGTGCGCACACACACACGTGCATACACACACGCGCACACACACACACGGCTCTCCGGCACGAGATGCGCGCTTGACAGGCTTGGCCCTCTGAACCCTGCAGACGGGCGCTCCGAGCGAGGAGTTCTACTCGGACGGCGACCTCCGCGTGGGGGTCACCGTGAACGCGTGGGGGCGGCCGCTGCACCTGCTGGCGTGCGACGGGTTCACGCGCCAGTACCTGAGCGACACGTACGGCACAGGTGCGGTGTGCCGGTGACGGTGGTGACAGTGGTGGTGGTGGTGACGGTGACAGGATGATGGCGGTGGTGGTGGTGGTGACGGTGACAGGAGGATGATGGTGGTGGTGGTGGTGATGGTGACAGGAGGATGATAGTGGTGGTGGTGGTGACGGTGACAGGAGGATGATGGTGGTGGTGGTGGTGATGGTGACAGGAGGATGATGGTGGTGGTGGTGATGGTGACAGGAGGATGATGGTGGTGGTGACGGTGACAGGAGGATGATGGTGGCGGTGGTGGTGGTGGTGGTGGTGACGGTGACAGGATGATGATGGTGGTGGTGGTGGTGGATGGTGATGGTGGATGGTGATGGTGGATGGTGGTGGTGGATGGTGATGGTGGATGGTGATGGTGGATGGTGATGGTGGATGGTGATGGTGGATGGTGATGGTGGATGGTGATGGTGGATGGTGATGGTGATGGTGGATGGTGGATGGTGATGGTGGATGGTGATGGTGGATGGTGATGGTGGATGGTGATGGTGGATTGGTGATGGTGGATGGTGATGGTGGATGGTGATGGTGGATGGCGGTGGATGGTGATGGTTGATGGTGATGGTGGATGGTGATGGTGGATGGTGATGGTGGATGGTGATGGTGGATGGTGATGGTGGATGGTGATGGTGGATGGTGATGTGGATGGTGATGGTGGATGGTGATGGTGGATTGGTGATGGTGGATGGTGGTGGATGGTGATGGTGGATGGTGATGGTGGATGGTGATGGTGGATGGTGATGGTGGTGATGGTGGATGGTGATGGTGGATGGTGATGGTGGATGGTGATGGTGGATGGTGGTGGATGGTGATGGTGGATGGTGATGGTGGATGGTGATGGTGGATGGTGATGGTGGATGGTGATGGTGGATGGTGATGGTGGATGGTGATGGTGGATGGTGATGGTGGATGCGGTGGATGGTGATGGTGGATGGTGATGGTGGATGGCGGTGGATGGTGATGGTGGATGGTGATGGTGGATGGTGATGGTGGATGGTGATGGTGGATGGCGGTGGATGGTGATGGTGGATGGTGATGGTGGATGGTGATGGTGGATGGTGATGGTGGATGGCGGTGGATGGTGATGGTGGGATGGTGATGGTGGATGGTGATGGTGGATGGTGATGGTGGATGGTGATGGTGGATGGTGATGGTGGATGGTGATGGTGATGGTGGATGGCGATGGTGGATGGCGATGGTGGATGGTGATGGTGGATGGTGATGGTGTATGGTGATGGGATGGCGATGGTGGATGGCGCGATGGTGGATGGCGATGGTGGATGGCGATGGTGGATGGCGATGGTGGATGGCGATGGTGGATGGTGATGGTGGATGGTGATGGTGGATGGCGATGGTGGATGGCGATGGTGGATGGTGATGGTGGATGGCGATGGTGGATGGCGATGGCGGATGGTGATGGTGGATGGTGATGGTGGATGGTGATGGTGGATGGTGATGGTGATGGTGGATGGCGATGGTGGATGGCGATGGTGGATGGCGATGGTGGATGGCGATGGTGGATGGCGATGGTGGATGGTGATGGTGGATGGCGATGGTGGATGGCGATGGTGGATGGCGATGGTGGATGGCGATGGTGGATGGCGATGGTGGATGGCGATGGTGGATGGTGATGGTGGATGGTGATGGTGGATGGTGATGGTGGATGGTGATGGTGGATGGTGATGGTGGATGGTGATGGTGGATGGTGATGGTGGATGGTGATGGTGGATGGTGATGGTGGATGGTGATGGTGGATGGTGATGGTGGATGGTGATGGTGGATGGTGATGGTGGATGGTGCTGGTGGTGATGGTGTGATGGTGGATGGCGGTGGATGGTGATGGTGGATGGTGATGGTGGATGGTGATGGTGGATGGTGATGGTGGATGGCGGTGGATGGTGATGGTGGATGGTGATGGTGGATGGTGATGGTGGATGGTGATGGTGGATGGTGATGGTGGATGGTGATGGTGGATGGTGATGGTGGATGGTGATGGTGGATGGTTGATGGTGGAGCGTACGTGTGCGTGTGGGGAGCGGCGGGGGAGCGGTTAGCACGCTGCGCTACGATCCCGGGGACCGGAGTTCGATTCCCGGCTCACGGCCAACAACACCATCTGAACCGGTCCTGGGCCTCCCCCCAGGTCGACTCAGCCTCAAATGTGGTGTGTAAACATCGCCACTGGGGAGACAAAGGCGGCCGGGCGTGGTGTCGGCCACGCCACGCACCCCCTAGCGTGCCGTGCCGGCCTTCGTAGGCGCTGCGTGCTCGCTAACAGCGCTTGGTCCGCCGCTAACGTTCTGTTAAAGGCTACACGGGGGATCTTTGTCTTTGGTATGGGGAGACAAAGGTGGCTGGGGGTGGTGCTGGACCACCCACCCACCCACCTACTCGCGTGCCGTGCCACTACTCGCGAACAGCACTTGCCCCTACAGCCTGTTAAAGGCTACACGGGGAATCTTTGTGTATTTATGTAGCCGTGCGGGGAGCGGCGGTGCCGCGGTTAGCGCTGCGCTACGACACCCGGCGACCCGAGTTTAGATTCCCGCTCACAGCCACAGACGCCCCGGTGACGATGATCCGAACCGGTCCTGGCACCTCCCGGCGTGCAAAAAACATCGGCACTGGGGAGACAAAGGCGGTCGGGCGTGGTGCTGGCCACCCACCCCCTCGTGTGCCGTGCCGGCCTTCATAGGTGCTACTCGCTAACAGCACTTGCCCCTACAGTCTGTGAGGCTACACGGGGGATCTTTGTCTTTGTGTATGCGCGTGTGTGCCCATGTGTGTCAGCGGGCGGTCCTCGACTTACGAACACAATTAGTTCTTGGAGCCTAAATTTCGATTTAAAGCTTTCGTGACTGCAGGGATTCATCTTCTTGGTTCTTTCGGTAAAGTCACGTAGAAGGGAAAGAATAAAATAATAAAAATAAAACATAATAACATAAAATAATTCTCACGACGTTTCGGCTACAACGCAAGCAGCCGTCTTCAGGTGAAGAATGAGACACTACCAAACTAGGAGCTTATATATAAGCTGCGTTGGAGGTGGAAGAGCGCCTTAACAAAAAGAATGTGCATATGAAGAGGAATTTAGCATATTCATGGAAAATGCGTAGGCGTTGGGCGGGGGGGTTTCAAAGTCATATTATGCCCATGCATTATGCAGGATCAGCAGCACCAAGGGGGGGTGCAGGGAATAGCAGTAACAAAGGAAAGGAATGTTAATGATATGTAGCTGCAGTTACTCAACAACCACGTAGAAAACTAAAGTATAAACTACATAAAAAACTAAAGTATAAACTGCATAGCACCATCAGTATACTTACTATACTCTACAATAAGCTGAGTTACTAACAGCAAGTAATATATTACAATTCTACGTCGTAAAAATTCTATAATATGCTTCCATCTAAACTTTATTCTCTTACATCACACGAGCATATACCGTACTATATACTGCCATAGATAAACCCAACATTAAATTATATACTGTATTGCTGTAAACCAACCTATACTTTATGCATTTTAATATAATACTATGTATTATTCTACACACCCTAATGTGTATCGAAATGGTTTATTACGTCCTTCCAATGATTGCTAAGCCAGAATCCATCTTCTCGGTTAAAATTGGAGCCTGTTCGTAAGTCAGGCTATAGGAGATATCTTTGTGTGTGTGTGTGTGGGGGGGGGGGGGGGGGGTGTTAAAATATAAATATACAACAGGCGACGTTTCGGGCAATGGGTCTCTCTCTCTGGAAGTCTATGGGTCTGCAAGTGAATCAGTAATGATATCTGCACGAGTCTATACGGGTCTCTGTGTGCGTGTATTTGGCAACCCCCGTGTCAAACCCGGCCCACAACGGTGCGCTGAAGGTCTTCACGGGGGGGGTGGTGGGTGGGGGGCCTTTTGTCTCCGTCGTGAGCAGAGAGCGTGGGGGCCGTGGCCTCGCCCCCCGGGAGCCCCCCGCGGACACCGCCCCCCCAGATGCCCCCCTACAATGGCTTCGGCTCCGAGGAGGACACTCGGCGCGGCTGCCTCGCGCTCGTGCCCAAGCCTCCGCAGAAGGACTTCGTCAAGTTCATGGAGCTGGGCAGGTACGGGGAGGGGGGGGGAGCGGCAGAGGTCGCAACCGGGTACCCGATACCCGTACCCTACCCGATACCCGGCTACCCTACCCGATACCCGGCTACCCTACCCGTACCCTACCCGATACCCGTACCCTACCCGATACCCGTACCCTACCCGATATCCGTACTCTACCCGATACCCGGCTACCCTACCCGTACCCTACCCGATACCCGTACCCTACCCGATACCCGTACCCTACCCGATACCCGGCTACCCGTACCCGGCCAAGTACGGGTACCCGTTTGCGACCCTGGTGCGGCCGGGTACGGGTGTTGACTACCTCGCCTGGTCTACAGGAGGTCGTGGGTTTGATCTCTATCATCATCACGGTGGCTAGGAGATGTTGACTACCTCGCTTGGTATGCAGGAGGTCGTGGGTTCGATCTCGATCATCATCACCGCTCCCTACACACACACTCACACAGTGTGCTAACCACTGCGCCACCGCTCCCTACACACACACAGTGCGCTAACCACTGCACCAGCACTCCCCCCACACACACTCACACAGTGCGCTAACCACTGCACCAGCGCTCCCTACACACACGCTCACACAGTGCGCTAACCACTGCACCACCGCTCCCGACACACACATTCACACAGCGCGCTAACCACTGCGCCACCGCTCCCTACACACACACTCACACAGCGCGCTAACCACTGCACCACCGTTCCCCACACACACTCACACAGTGCGCTAACCACTGCGCCACCGCTCCCCACAAAGACCCCCCGTGTAGCCTTAACAGACTGCAGGGGCAAGTGCTGTTAGCGAGTAGCACCTATGAAGGCCGGCACGGCACACGAGGGGGTGCGTGGCCAGCACCACGCCCGGCCGCCTTTGTCTCCCCGGTGATGATGTTTACACATTACACCAGGTACTCATTTGAGGCTGAGTCGACCTAGGGGAGGCCCAGGACCGGTTCAGATAATCGTCACTGATGGTGACGATTATCTGGGTTCGTAGCGCAGCGTAGCGCTAACCGCTGCCCCATCCGCTCCCCACACGCACACACACTTATTCTTTGGTTTTTTCGGTAAAGTGACGTGTAAAGATAAAATAATAAATTAAATAATAGCATACGACGTTTCGATTGCAACACAAGCAATAATCATCAGGTATAATGAAATAGCGACATAAAATATAACCAGAAAACTATAGACAGACATATAAGCAGACAGATATCACCAAGATAGACATAGAGAGAGAGCAACACAGGCACAGAGAGGGGTGATCGTCTCTGTGGGGTGGCCTTAAATAGACAGAGGGGGGCGGAGGCAGAGAGAGGGAGGTGGTTAGAGAAAAAAATGTACATGTCAATGAGTACGAAAGCTTAGAGGGAGAAAGAACACACTAAATTAAATAACCTAGAAAAGTATCGAAATGTTATGTAAAACGACACAGAGAGTCGGTCAACACACAATTAACGCACAGCCTGGTCGATTACGTATTTCAAAGATTATACATACACTTGCCCCAAAAGTCCGTGAAGGCTATACTGAGGGGGGGATGGTCTTTGCCTTTGTGTGGTGGTGGTGGTGGGGGCGGCAGGCAGGGCCTGGACGGTCACGTGCTGCGCTTCACGGCCGAGATGAAGTCCGGCAACCCCGTGGACGAGGGCCGCCGATTCGTGGTCTCCTACTTCCTGGAGGACGACACCATCTCGGTGTTCGAGCAGGAGCAGCGCAACTCAGGTGCACACGGCGGCCAGGAGATGTTGACTACCTCGCCTGGTGCACAGGAGGTCGTGGGTTCGATCTCTCGTCATCATCACGGCGGCCAGGAGATGTTGACTACCTCGCCTGGTGCACAGGAGGTCGTGGGTTCGATCTCTCGTCATCATCACGGCGGCCAGGAGATGTTGACTACCTCGCCTGGTGTACAGGAGGTCGTGGGTTCGATCTCTCATCATCATCACGGTGGCTAGGAGATGTTGACTACCTCGCCTGGTGCACAGGAGGTCGTGGGTTTAATCTCTGTCATCATCATCACGGCGGCCAGGAGATGTTGACTACCTCGCCTGGTGCACAGGAGGTCGTGGGTTCGATCTCTGTCATCATCACGGTGGCCAGGAGATGTTAACTACCATGTCTGGTGTGTAGGAGGTCGTGGGTTAGATCTGGACCCTGTCTCTCTGTCTCATCATCATTTGGTATACACCACCACCTCCAACAGCACCTCCAACACCACATCCGCCACCACCACCGCCACCATCTCCACCACCACCACGTCCACCACCACCACATCCACCACCACCACCACCTCCACCAAACCCACCGCCACCACTGCCACCACCACCTCCACCACCACCACCACCACCTCCACCACCACCTCCACCACCACCACCACCACCACCTCCACCCCCTCCACCACCACCACCACCACCACCACGGTCTCACCCCGGTACCGCGTGGCCTGCTCCCAGGCGTGGTGGCCGGCAGGTTCCTGGAGCGCGGTGCGGTGGAGAAGCCCGGCCAGCCGCGGTTCTGCGCGGCGGCACCGGCGCGGTTCCTGGCGCCGGACCTCCACGTGGGGGCCGTGGTCGCCCTGCACGGCCGCACCCTGCACCTCACCGGGGCCGACCGCTACACCCTGCGCTACATGGAGACGCACCGCGACCAGGTGGCGGTGGTGGTGGTGGTGACGAGATGATGATGATGATGATGCGATGAGGTGGTGGTGACGAGATGATGATGATGGCGATGATGATGATGATGATGCGATGAGGTGGTGGTGACGAGATGATGATGATGGCGATGATGATGATGATGCGTCGAGATGATATGACACGGTGACGTGGAGATGAGACGCACCGCGACCAGGTGGCGACGTGGTGGTGCTGGTGAAGAGATGATGATGATGCGACGAGGTGGTGGTGGTGACGAGATGATGATGACGAGGTGGTGATGTGTCGAGATGACACGGTGACACGGTGACGTGGAGACGAGACGCACTGCGACCAGGTGGCGACGGCGACGACGTGGTGCTGAAGAGATGATGATGATGATGCGACGAGGTGGTGATGACGTGGTGCTGGTGGTGGTGGCGAGATGATGATGATGATGCGATGAGGTGGTGATGTGTCGAGATGACACGGTGACGTGGAGACGAGACGCACCACGACAAGGTGACGTGCCGCCCATGGACAGGACGGTGATGGTCATGGTGGTGATGGTGTTGGTGGTTATGGTGGTGATGGTGGTGATGATGGTGGTTATAGTGATAATGCTGGTGGTTATAGTGGCGATGGTGGTGGTGGTGATGGTGGTGATGTTGATGATGGTGGTGGTTTCGGTGACGATGGTTTACAATGACGATGGCGGCGGTGACGGCGTTGATGGCGGCGTCGTTGACGGCAGCCAGTTTGCCCGTACCACCGGCGCGCGTGACGTGATTGCGTCTCCTCCTCGACCCCGTCTCGCCATCCCCCCCCCCCCCCCCCCCGCCAGTTCCCCGAGGCGGACGCTTCCCTGGCGCTGGCGGTGCTGCGTGCGGCCCTGGGGGAGGGCGAGGGCCCCAGGGCCTTCAGGGCGGCCTGCGCGGAGGCCGACGCGCTGGGCACAGGGGCCTTGCCCTGGCCACAGTTCAGGTGCGGGGGGGGGGGGGGGTTGATGATGGCGACGATGACTGCGATGACGACGATGATGGTGGTGACGGTGACGACGATGTTAATGATGGCGACGATGGTGGTGACGGTGACGACAATGGTGACGATCACGACGATGATGGTGGTGACGGTGACGACGATGGTGACGATCACGACGATGATGGTGGTGACGGTGACGACGATGGTGACGATCACGACGATGATGGTGGTGACGGTGACGACGATGGTGACGATCACGACGATGATGGTGGTGACGGTGACGACGATGGTGACGATCACGACGATGATGGTGGTGATGGTGACGATCACGACGATGATGGTGGTGACGGTGACGACGATGGTGGTGACGATGGCGACGATGGTGATGACGATGGCGACGATGCCTACAACGACGACGATGATGATGATGATGGTGACGACGATGGTGACGCTGCCAACAACGATGATGACGATGACTACGACGACAACGATGGTGGTGACGGTGACGACGATGGTGACGATCACGACGATGATGGTGGTGACGGTGACGACGATGGTGATGACGATGGTGACGATCACGACGATGATGGTGGTGACGGTGACGACGATGGTGATGACGATGGCGACGATGCCTACAACGACGACGATGGTGATGATGGTGACGACGATGATGACGCTGCCTACAATTATGATGATGGCGATGACGCCTACGACGATGCTTACGACGACGACGGTGACAACGATGACGAAGATGACGCTGCCTACAACGATGATGATGGCGATGACGACGATGCCTACGATGACGCCTATGACGATGCTTACGACGACGACGGTGACAACGATGACGACGACGACGACGATGATGAAGATGACGATGTTGTCATCGCCGCTGCTGCTGCTGCTGCTGTGTCGCGCGCCTCTCAGGGCGCTGGTGCGCAGGGCGTGCGGGCCGCAGAGCCTCAGCGACCACGGCCTCATCACCCTGGCCAGGAAGTTCCACGTGCACCGGGGGGACGACGACGACGACGAGGAGAAGGAGAGGGGTGACGTAGAGGAGGAGGAGGAGGAGGGAGCGACGACGGCGAGGAGGATGATGAGGATGAGGAGGAGGAGGGAGGACGAAGTGGGAGCGGCGTGCAGGAAGGTGCTGCGGGCTCGACGGTTCGAGGAGTTCCCCGTGCTCCTCCAGGAGTTTGCTCAGCGAGACGCGGCGCGGTGAGCCGGCGATGGGAGGGCAGCGGTGGTGGTGACGGTGACAGGAGGATGATGGTGGTGGTGACGGTGACAGGAGGATGATGGTGGTGGTGACGGTGACAGGAGGTTGATGATGGTGGTGGTGGTGGTGACGGTGACAGGAAAATGATGGCGGTGGTGGTGGTGGGGAAATCTGTGGAGCGTGGTGGAGGGTGGTGATGGATGGTGGATGGTGGAGTGCGTGTGTGTGTGTGCATCTGCTGGGTCTGCCCCGTGACCTCCTGCCAGCGGGCGTTCGACACTTCACGTGGTAGCCTCAAGGTGCACATGGCCTGGCACGAGCGTTGTGGTGACGTCACCGCCACTTGGTGGCGAATGGCGGTTGTTGTTGTCTCCAGGTCGGGGTGGCTGTGTGTGATGGTGGATGGTGATGGTGGATGGTGGTGGATGGTGATGGTTGATGGTGGAGCGTACGTGTGCGTGTGGGGAGCGGCGGGGGAGCGGTTAGCACACTGCGCTACGATCCCGGGGACCGATTCCCGGCTCACGGCCAACAACACCCAGTGGCGATTATCTGAACCGGTCCTGGGCCTCCCCTAGGTCGACTCAGCCTGAAACGAGTACCTGGTGCAGTGTGTAGTAAACATCGCCACTGGGGAGACAAAGGCGGCCGGGCGTGGTGCTGGCCACCCACCCCCTCGTGTACCGTGCCGGCCTTCATAGGTGCTCGCTAACAGCACTTGCCCCTACAGTCTGTTGAGGCTACACGGGGGATCTTTGTCTTTGTTGCGTGCAAGTGGGGAGTGGTGGTGTCTGTTCGAGTCCAGCTCAGGGTCGCCAACGCAAGCGACGATTTATCTGAGCCCGCCCCGGGCCTCCCCTAGGTCGACTCAGCCTCAAACGAGTACCTGCTGCGGTGTGTAGTAAACATCGCCACTGGGGAGACAAAGGCGGCCGGGCGTGGTGCTGGCCACCCACCCCCTCGTGTGCCGTGCCGGCCTTCATAGGTGCTGCTATTCGCTAACAGCACTTGCCCCAACAGTCTGTTGAGGCTACACGGGGGACCTTTGTCTTTGTCTCCAGGTCGGGGTGGCTGTGTGTACGGGAGGCGCGCTCCGTGTGCAAGTCGCTCCGTCTCCCTGTGGACGACTCCCTGCTGCACGACCTGCTGGACACGTGGGGACGACGCACCACGACCTCCACCATCACCTCCACCGTCACCACCTCCACCACTACCTCCACCACTACCTCCACCATCACCACCACCTCCACCATCACCACCACCACCTCCACCATCACCATCACCACCACCTCCACCATCACCACCACCTCCATCATCACCACCTCCACCACTACCTCCACCATCACCACCACTACCTCCACCATCACCACCACCTCCACCATCACCACCACCTCCATCATCACCACCACCTCCAACATCACCACCGCCACTACCACCACCTCCACCACATCCACTACCACCACCTTCACCATCACCACCACGACCTCCACCACCACCTACATCATCACCACCTCTACCACCACCTCCACCATCACCTCCACCATCACCACCACCTCCAACATCACCACGACCTCCACCACCACCTCCATCATCACCACCTCTACCACTACCTCCACCATCACCACCACCTCCATCATCACCACTGCCACTACCACCACCTCCACCATCACCACCACTACCTCCACCATCACCACCACTACCTCCACCATCACCACTGCCACTACCACCACCTCCACCATCACCACCACCTCCATCATCACCACCTTCACCACTACCTCCACCATCACCACCACTACCTCCACCATCACCACCACCTCCACCATCACCACCACCTCCACCATCACCACCACCATCACCACCACCTCCATCATCACCACGACCTCCACCACCACCTCCATCATCACCACCTCTACCACTACCTCCACCATCACCACCACCTCCATCATCACCACTGCCACTACCACCACCTCCACCATCACCACCACTACCTCCACCATCACCACCACTACCTCCACCATCACCACTGCCACTACCACCACCTCCACCATCACCACCACCTCCATCATCACCACCTCCACCACTACCTCCACCATCACCACCACTACCTCCACCATCACCACCACCTCCACCATCACCACCACCTCCACCATCACCACCACCATCACCACCACCTCCATCATCACCACGACCTCCACCACCACCTCCATCATCACCACCTCTACCACTACCTCCACCATCACCACCACCTCCATCATCACCACTGTCACTACCACCACCTCCACCATCACCACCACTACCTCCACCATCACCACCACGACCTCCACCACCACCTGGGTGGGGAGGGGCTGGTCACCCCGTGGTGCCCTTATAAAACTCAACGTTTCACCTACTCACGCCGGCTTGTGCCCGCCCTCACAGTCGGGCATATTTGCGGAATACACCACGCCGCCGTTGACCCTGCAGGCCATTGACCAGCAACCCGACGTTCCTACCAGCTCCCTCCGCAGGAATGTGTTATAAGTCACTTCAGCTAAAATGTTCTTGCCGTAGTTTTCACACCTGATGACGCTTGCTTGTGTTGCAATCGAAACGTCGCGATTTAATTTAGTTTTCATTTTTATTGTATTTTCTACCTACGTGACTTTACCGAAAGAACCAAAGAGTATGCATCCTCGCAGTCGCGAAAACTTGGAATCTAGAAACATCGTCAAATGTTCGAACTGCATGTGAGGAAGATCGATGTGGCGGGCGGTGCAACGGTTAGCGCGCCGCGCTACGAACCTACGAACCCCGGCCAGCCGAGTTCGATTCCCGGCCAGGGCCTTGCACCTGCTAAAACGAACAATTAGTTCCTCTCGATTTGAAGCTTTCGTGACTGCAAGGATTCATATTTTTAGGTTTTTTCGGTAAAGTCACGTAGGTAAAACATTAAAATTAATAAAAGTAAAATAAAATAAAAATCACGACGTTTCGGAGGCAACACAAGCTTCCGTCTTCAGGTGGAACCGTCACAGCCACGACAGCTGTATCAAGTAAACGAGAGATTGCAGAAGCTACCACTCCGTTTATATAATGGTTGGAGAAGGTGGTGGGGGCAAGGGCCGCATACTTTTTATTAATACGGTAAGGTGAGGCTTGAGAGGGTGAGCCTTTGTTATGGAGAGGTACGGTTTGTGAATCAACCTGTGACAGGGAGACAACCACTAAACATGTTGAACCTGTAGTAGTTGTCTGTCTATTAATTTTAATGTTTTACCTACGTGACTTTACCGAAAAAACCTAAGAATATAATTAGTTCCTCTGTTGATATGTAAATTCCTTTGTCAAGGCGCTCTTCTTCCTCTAACCCAGCTTAAATATACGCTGCCAAGTTTGGTGGTGTTTCATTCGGACGCTGTCTTTCCGACAGACCTGTTCTTCACCTGAGGACGGCTGCTTGCGTTGTGAGAATTTTATTTTATGATGTTTTATTTTTATTATTTTATTATTTCCCTTCTACGTGACTTTACCGAAAAAACCAAGAGTATAAATTTCGATTTAAAGCTTTCGTGACTGCAGGGATTCATCTTCTTGGTTCTTTCGGTAAAGTCATCACGTAGAAGGGAAATTATAAAATAATAAAAATAAAACATAATAAAATACAATTCTCACGACGTTTCGGAAAGACAGCGTCTGACAGACCTGTTCGTCACCTGAGGACGGCTGTTTGCGTTGTGGGAATATTTTATGTTTTATTTTTTATTATTTTACTATTTCCCTTCTACGTGACTTTACCGAAAGAACCAAGAAGATAGTTTGAAGTGGTTTAATCTGTTGAGGTTTTACCGGGCGGCGGGGGCGGTCTTTGTCTGTGGTGGTTGCAGGTTCTCCCAGGGGGCAGAGCAGGCCGGGGTGGACTACAACCGCATGGTGGACTACGACCGCATGGTGGACTACGAGCGCATGGTGGAAGCCATCAAGTGGAGAGAGAACGCGACGGTCGACATGGCTCACCCACGCCAGGTAAAGAGCCACGGCAACAAACAACAATAACAACAGCAGCAACAACAACAACAACATACAGCATCAACATACAACAACATACAGCAACAACAACATACAGCAACAAACAGCAAAACAACCCATACCTCACCCTCCCCTGTAACCTTAACTCTACCCCTACCCCTAGCGATACCCCTACCCCTAGCGATACCCCTACCGCTAGAGATACCCCTACCCCTAGTGATACCTCTACCCCTAGTGATACCTCTACCCCTAGTGATACCCCTAGTGATACCCCTAGTGATACCCCTACCCCTAGCGATACCCCTAACGATACCTCTACCCCTAGTGATACCCCTAGCGATACCCCTACCCTAGCGATACCCCTAGCGATACCTCTACCCCTAGCGATACCTCTACCCCTAGTGATACCCCTAGCGATACCCCTACCGCTAACGACACACCAACAGCGCCGCTGGCCGCGCGTGTCGCCCCGCCAGGTGAGCGCGGGTGAGGAGGGCGGTGAGGCGGGGGACGAGGTGAGCATGGTGCCCGCCGGCGTCGTGAGCTACGCTCACTTGCTGCAGGAGCTCTTCGGAGCGGCCGAGTGACGCGGCGTGGAGCCTCACCATGCCCCTCACCTTCCCCACCAGAACCTCTGCTCACCACACCGATTAGTTTTTTTCTTCTTCCCCCCGAAGCGACATCGCTCTCTTGTCGCTTCCTTAACCTGCCGCAGCCGCTGCCGGTATTTCCGCTGTCGTCGTCGTCGTGATCATTTGATCTTCTAATCCTCGTAACTAACAACAACAACTTTCGATTTAAAGCTTTCGTGACTGCAGGAATTCATCTTCTTGGTTCTTTCGGTAAAGTCACGTAGAAGGGAAATAATAAAATAATAAAAATAAACGTAATAAAATACAATTCTCACGACGTTTCGGCCACAACGCAAGCAGCCGTCCTCAGGTGAAGAACAGGTCTGTCTTATCGATAGACCTGTTCTTCACCTGAGGACGGCTGCTTGCGTTGTGGCCGAAACGTCATGAGAATTATTTTATTATGTTTTATTTTTATTATTTTATTACTTCCCTTCTACGTGACTTTACCGAAAGAACCAAGAAGATGAACAACAACAACATCTAGTAATAGGTTTTTACCCTTTCAACTGGTACAAAAACTGACACCTTTATACAAGGCATCATGTTTGCAATAACCACAACACAAGCAGTCAAAATGCAAACAAAAAGAAACAACTCTGATGATGATAATGATATGCACTGTCCTTGAAGTTGATTGGTCCACACCCGAGACAGCTTTTCTTAGAGCCCAGTCTCCATTGGTGTTGGACATGATGCCTTGTATAAAGGTGTCAGTTTTTGTACCAGTTGAAAGGGTAAAAAACCTACTACTATATTTTGCCACTGGTAAAGGAGATGTCTCATAGAACAACAACATCATCGTCGTAGCCATCTCCACCACCACCACCATCACTCGATTCGTCGTTGATTTTTGTTGGACTCAGCAAATCCGCCCGCATCTGTTATCGATAAGAGCCCTCCCTCCAACCGCCGGGCCCAGCCCAAATAAATGACGAAGATTTCGGTTGCGGTGCGTAAGCGTTCGACGGCGAAGCGCCAACGATTATCATTATTATTATTCTTATTCTTCTAGATTTGAAGCTTTCGCAACTGCAGGAATCCACACTCTTTGGTTCTTTCGGTAAAGTCACGTAGAGTAGAAAATTCAAACAAAAAATAATATCGGAACGTCGTGATATATGGGGAGACGAGTCAGGGGCGTGGTCCCGGCAGCTGACGAGGAAGCCTGGAACATTCCATGCAGGCTAACGAGGATTGGTGGAAACGTACCATGTGACCCGGGTATTAAATAGGGGTGGAGACGAACGACACGTGGTCAGTAGGGGATTGGTTCTGCTGGCTTTGGCCTCAGCCAATGGGGAGATGAGTCAGGGGCGTGGTCCCGGCAGCTGACGAGGGAGCCTGGAATATTCCATGCATGCTAACCAGGATTGGCGGAAACGTACCATGTGACCCGGGTATTAAATAGGGGTGGAGACGAGCGACACGTGGTCAGAACGGGAACGAACGGAGGAAGGGGGCCACACGGGAGCGGGGCTCCGGGTTGCCACGTGGTCCAGGCTGCCACGTGGTCCAGGCTGCCACGTGGTCCAGGTTGCCACGTGGTCCAGGCTGCCACGTGGTCCAGGCTGCCACGTGGTCCAGGCTGCCACGTGGTCCAGGTTGCCACGTGGTCCAGGCTGCCACGTGGTCCAGGCTGCCACGTGGTCCAGGCTGCCACGTGGTCCAGGCTGCCACGTGGTCCAGGCTGCCACGTGGCTACGTGCGTGTCTCTCTCTCTCTGTCCCTCTCACGCTGCCTGTCAGCAGTGTGAAGGAAAGCTGTAACGCAAGTTGAATAAAAGACGGATTCCAGAAGTCGCCTCAATGACCTTTATTACACCTACATTACTTTAAATAACCAAAGAGTATGATTATGATTATTATTCTTCACTAAGGGTGTTTTGTTTCTTTGGGTTAGATCGCGTCAGTATAGCCGTGTCGTCAGACCCGCCGCCACCACCCGACACGGCCAATTAGTGGGGGTTGTCACGTAGCGCAAAAATGTGGCCGATTCGTTGCTAGTTCAGCACGAACCGGTTGCGCGGTGCAGAGTAAACCCACAAACGTTCACAGTTCGAGTACCGAGATGTTTCGCTGGCGATTACGACGATCAGCTTCATCAGGCGATTAGCCTGCATTCTGGGTGTACTGAAGTTCCAACTTTTCGGCGGGTCTAACAACACACTCATGTTCTTCTTGGTTCTTTCGGTAAAGTCACGTAGAAGGGAAGTAATAAAATAATAAAAATAAAACATAAAATAATTATTTTAATGTGTTTTATTTTTATTATTTTATTACTTAAAATAATTATTTTATTATGTTTTATTTTTATTATTTTATTACTTCCCTTCTACGTGACTTTACCGAAAGAACCAAGAAGATGAATCCCTGCAGTCACGAAAGCTTTAAATCGAAATTTAACCCCTTATACATCTCAACGTTCATCCTACAAAGTCCCATCACAAGGGAGAAACACAAATAGACAACACAAGTTGTTGCCCGTATTGAAACGGCTGTTCGTCGTACGAACCTGAAAACTAAATTTCCCTGTACAAGAATACGGGTGAACCGTACAGGTTGACAGGTATACGGAGCTCCACTTGAAACTGCGTCAAGCATCATCAGGACAGAGATCCAGGAAGTGAGAATAACCGTAGAGGAAGTGAAAATCGCGATACAGGAAGTGAGAATCAATGCAGGTATTCCCGATGTGGTAACTCACCAATATTGTTCTGACTGCCAGAATGAAAATCACCAAATCCACGTTGTGCGCGTTACGTCTGCCGTGTTGCGATGGAGACCAATAAACATCCGCAAGGACATCTCGACAGTGAGCGGTGCACCGCCTTCTTACGGAAGTTGACATCACAGAACTACTCTTGACGTTATAGATGTGAAGCTTTCGTGACTGCAAGGATTCATACTCTTAGGTTTTTTCGGTAAAGTCACGTAGGTAGAAAAAGAAGAATAAAATAAAATAATAATAAATGAAAATAACTAATTCTAATAAATACAAGGTCGGGTCTTTTGGAATTTCTCATTTACTTGATACAGCAATCGTGCTGTGACGGTTCCACCTGAAGACGGAAGCTTGTGTTGCCTCCGAAACGTCGTGATTTTTATTTTACTTTTATTAATTTTAACTTATTTTTTAATTTTTTACCTACACGGTGACTTTACCGAAAAAACATAAGAGTATGAAAATAACTAAATTTAATCACGACGTTTCGGAAGCAACACAAGCCTCCGTCAAGAGGTGTCATCAGGTGTAACTGGAGCAGTTACACCTGATGACGGAGGCTTATGTTGCTTCCGAAACGTCGTGATTTAATTTAGTTATTTTCATTTATTATTATTATTTTATTCTTTTTTTACCTACGTGACTTTACCGAAAGAACCTAAGAGTACTTTTGACGTCACTGCATTCATCATTTTTTGTTATATTGTGTTGTACCTGGGGGGGCGGGGGGCAGATTACAAAGACAAAGATCCCCCGTGTAGCCTTGACAGACTGCTGGGGCAAGTGCTGTTAGCGAGCACCTATGAAGGCCGGCACTGCACACGAGGAGGTGGGTGGCCAGATCCACGCCTGGCCGTCCTTTATCTCCCCAGTGGCGATGTTTACTACACCAGGTACTAATTGCAGGCTGAGTCGACCTAGGCGAAGCCCATGACCCGGTTTAGATAATCGTCACTGGTGTTGGCCATGATCGGGAATTGAACTCGAGTCGCCGGCTTCGTAGAGTAGCATGCTGACCGCTGCACCACCACTCCCCACCAACGCACACACACGCACACAGCAGTTGTGTTGGTATTTTATTGAGCGTTGCGGACAGCGTTTAAATGACATCATTCACAAGCCCAGCGTGTTATTTAAAAGTCCTTAACCAACCCGGCAACTGCAAGCAATCAATTTCAAATGTGCACACCCACGTACCCGATCCTCTGACGAAATCTACCGGATTTCTGGCAGGCTGAACGAGGATACGTCATGTCAAGCTGGCAGCCAACTCCTTCTAGCCCAGGGGTCGGGAACCTTTTTGACTGGGAGAGCCATAAAAGCCAAATATTTCTAAATATATTGCATTGAGAGCCATATAGTAATTTTTAACGTATAATAAATTAAATATGTCTTACTTTTAATGCGACTTCTGGTGCTGCGTGGTTTTTGCTGATGGCCTGGTTCATACGTGGCGAGGTTGAGCTT